ATCACTCCCACAGTTTTTTCAACAAAGGAATATCAATGAACTATCTATAAAATGGCGAATGTGGATAGGTGAAGGTAATAATGGTATATATTTTGATTAAATATATAATTACATAAATTTTCGTTTGGATTTTTCTATATAAAACGCCAATTTCATATGTAAGGACCTAATATATAGCGTCTCCTGTAAATACAAAACAGGGAAAGTAAAACATATTTGGATAGGTCATTAAAACGAGTAAGGTAGGTATTTTTAAACGACTTGTTTATGTATAAAGGCTTGCATTTGCCCATTTTTTTATTGAAAGTTCAACCTATAAAAGTCTATCAGCGAAACCATCGCCGATCGCTCGTTAAAATAGGATGGTAGTTTGAACTTTGCAATTTGAAAAAGATAAAACATCAAAGTCTTTTTGAAATGAAATGTGACACGAAAATATATTTGAATCCTTTAAAATTGCGTGATTATTTAAAAAAAGAAGTATATTGAGAAGGTGTCAGCAGAGGCATATTCTTTGAATCAAAGATGGCGTATCACCTAGTAACGGTTGCTAGGCGACGAGCCTTCAGAATGAATAGAAATATTCAAGGCGTCTGCTCAAAGGATGTTTATTTTTAACCAACTTAAGAAATCGGTCAAGTGCAAGTCTTACTAGCATACCCAGGATTCTGTACAATCAAATATTTTTGTATTATTTTAATTAGGTAAATAAATATTTGTTACAAGACGTACATGACGAAATGTCTCTTTTCTTGTTTTTTGGCTACGAAACCCTAAAAGAAGACTATCTGGAAAAATTTAATTGAAATAATTATATTTTCCCTATACTTTGAAACCTGAATAATAAAGATATATATACCTAATCTTTAATTTTTTTTGTGTATGTAGCGCGATATTTTCACCGGTTACAATGATTGTCATATTTTTTAAAGAATAACTTATACCATATCTGTGATCTCATAAAAAAATCAAAAAAAGAATTCCACCCATAATAAATAAATAAAGTTCAAGGCCTGAAACCCGAGAATTCATTAAACAAAAACATGAAAATTGGTTAGCGATTATACGCGAATATATCACAAAACATATTCATTTGTGTGATGAGCACGAATGTTGGTACTCCAGTCATGGGTGTTTATATTTATAATATGTATGTATTTAAAAGTTATATATGTGTAGTTATATCAACTAACTGGTATCCATAACACAGGCCTCGTAGCTTACCATGGAACTAGATGGTGTTGTGTGTTAATGTCCTGAGATATTTATTTATTATTTTATTATTTATTTATTATTTATATGCGCAAAAAACAAAAACTCGAATTGATGCTTTCTTTTGTTAAAGCTAATCATAATATGGATAACATAAGGATGTATAAATAATATCCTTTTAAAAGACTTAATCTTGTTCGAGCTTAGAAAAAAAACGTAATAAGTAAAAAAATACTTTTCCCACTTGCTATATTAATGTTTAAAAATAACTTTTGCATAACAAATTTTCTAAGTCTTCTTATCCACTTTGTTCAAACTTGTATAGCATTGTTTATTGTAGTTTCAGCTAAAACACAATTTATGTATTAAAGTATTAAAATTTTAAAAAGCTTGTAGAGGTATGTTTAGACTAAAAATAAAATTCTAACTAAGCCGAATATGTACATTCTGTAATTTTTAGAATTTTTGTCTGTCTGTTTGTCTGTGACCGCATGAAAAAAACTACTGGGCAGATTTTAATGAAATTTGGTATGATGATAGCTAGGTGTTCGGGTCAGCATATAGGATACTTTTTACAGCGGAAAAATATCTCATCTCTGAGAAATCTATACTAAACGTTAAAACGTAACTAGAGACGAAGCGGAGCGGAACCAGGGCGAGTCGTTAGTACCTATTAAACAAAAAAGTAAAACTTATGAAATAACCCCATGTAAATTAGGTACATGCATTTTTAACCGACATCGAACAAAGGGTGGTGTTATAAGTCTGTTACCTACATATATTGGTGTGTGTTTCTTTAAAAGTTTGAATTGCGAACTAAAATAAGAATGTTACATCATTGAGCTAAATTAACCTTTTTATACATATTTTGGGAAATGTTTTTTTTTCTTTTATTTTCTTTCTTAATAGCGGTTAGTATTGATTTTAAGGAGTTTTGGAGCTTAACCGTTAAGTTTTATTTATAGATATACCACAAGAACCGTCTTTTGTCCGGGATAAAAAGTAGCCTGTGAGCTATTCCTGACTATAATCTATCTCTTTGCTAAATTTCATCCAGATCCGTTTAGCCGTTTTGGTGTGATTGAGCAACAAACATCCATCCAAATTTTCGCATTTATAATATGTATGGGATTTCTCAAATAAAATTTACTCATTTGATTACACTAATTTTTTTGTGAATTTTGAATGGAAAAAGGATTGAGAAAACTATAATATGAAAATGATCTTTAAAACCATTTCGCCATTCTTTTCCTTATAAATAAATACATATTTTGGGACATTAACACAGCACCAACTAGTTCCATGGTAAGCTTCGAGGCTTGTGCTATGGATACCAGATAGTAGATACACTAAACATATATAAATTTAAATACATACATATTATACACATATAAACACCTATAACTGGAGTACAAACATTCCTGCTCATCACACAAATAATGCCCACAGCGGGACTCGAACTCACAACCACTGGCACAGCAAGTAGGGTCATTACGAACTGAGCCAAACGTGTCGTCAATATGCTGTTTAAGGCAACTATTACAAAAAAAGAGAATATAGCGAACTTGGTTTCGTATTCATTTGATTGAATTCAGTCTTACATCATGCATTAATACAATAATTAATTACAAACGTCACAATATCTAAAATTATTTAGAAAAAAAAACTAATTATTCCGACTTAGGGGTGTTATTGTTTTTTATTTATATGGGACCTCCTTTGTATTAAAGAAAAAATTATGAAAATTGTATATGTAAGTGTAGTATAGTAGACGTAGTAGAATACTCCACCTATTTAAAGTCGGTTAAGAAATACGAAAATAAAACGAAAATAACAAATGTGAGTAAATATTTATATTTACACTATTATTTTTTTTGTATTGATACTATCCTAAAGCCCCTAAACATTTTAAAGGCTTTCACTTCAAGGACTGCGCTCAATAGTTTTCTGTTTTTCTTTGCCTTTCATTCGTGGAATTTATTTAACCAAGCGTTCATCACGTTTTTCTTCTATCCCAGAGCTTTTAAATTAAAGCTTTTGAATAAAATAAACAGGTATAATAAAAGCTTTTATTTGATTTTTATGGTCCGCTTTTATATGGCGCTTTTTACTTTAGTAGTTTAAAACTAGATAATGGGAGTACAAGAATCTCCATACATCTTTCTATATGCTCGATAGATTTTGTTATGTTTAAATTATTAATTGTACTAATATTATAAATGTGAAAGTTTAGATGTTTGGACGTTTATTACTCTATCACGTTAGAACGGCTGAACGGATCTGGATAAAATTTGGCACAGATATAGATTGTAGCCTGGAACATAGGCTACTTTTTATCCCGGAAGATCTCGTGGGATAGATTTGTTTTTTTTTTTCAGTATTAAATATCTTCAATGTAAAAATATAGTGCGGCTGTGGTTGCATGGTAAGTGGGGCGGCGATCTAAGGTAGTCTATGGACATATATGTATAGTAGTATGTATTATTATTATGTATTATAGTCCGTATGTCCAGGATGAAATTTATGTCCTATCCAAATTTCATCGAAATCTGTTCAGTGGTTTAAGCTTAAAAAGGTGAGAGTTAGAGTTACTTTTACATGTTAATTAAATACGGATTACGGATTAGTTTGTATATGTATTCGGCCTCTTTCTAACATTCCACTGCTGGGCACAGGTCTTACTGCAATAGGAGAGGATTAGGTCATAGTCCAGCACGCTGGCCAAGTGCAAAATAAAGACAAGTGGTAATCATGTTGGAAATGTTTCGCACACGAATATATCAGAAGTGCGAGACCCAGAAATTGAACCCGCTCACTCGGTTTCCCAAGCGAGGTTACGGTTTTACGACTGGTCTTTCACTGCCAAATTTTGTAAATACATCAACGCGATGACCCCTAACTTACGTGCTTCCCTAAAAACAAAATATACATAAATTTTCCCTGTTTTCTATATAAAATATCGATAAATTTAACAAACTTTACATAAATATTTGGAATATATAATCTCTGAGAGATACAACATATTTTTTTTTAAACTAGATGTTACAAAAATGTGGTGTGAAACTTACACTACGAGTATAATATTTTTATGATGGACTCGATAAATATTGTTCCGATCATATTTTAATTTTATTTATGATCTTTATAATTGCTTCGGTGGTCTAGTGGCTAGCATTTACGGCTGCAGTCTGCAAATCCAGAGGTCCTGGGTTCGAGTTCCGGGTCAGGCCATGTTTAATTATTGAGTTTTTCTGTTGACGGTGTTTCACGCCCGTGCTTTGGAGAGCACGGAAAGCCTAAAGAAAGTCTAAGTATCGTCCCATCGGACTTTGAGAGTAAAAGGAATAGAGAGGGCACTTGTGTTTGTGCGCACACTTGTGCAATATAATATCTCCTGCAGTTGGCTAGTTTCAATGAGATTTGCGGCCATCATTAAAATAATTTTATTATTATGATGTTTATGTTTAAACAATAAAGCCGAAGCCACTGGTTATTTTAATTTAAGTCTATAACATGCTAAGTTAAAATGAAGTAAAATATTATAATAGAGATATTAGTAAAAGATTTCTCATCCCTTTTCCCATCACGGGGAAATATTAGATTAACTCAAAATAACATTCAATCACTATACCAAAGTAAAAATCCAAATAATCCATTGGCTTCCCCCAAATTTTTCCCATTAAAAATATTTAACCATATATGATTTGTTTTATTTATTGGTACTTCATGTTCATTTAAATTAAATATACAAAAAAAAAGTAATATCTTAAGCAATTCCTTTGTTGTAGGATATCGACTATGAAGGTTTCCGATGGTTTTTGGACACGTTCCTTGAAGTCACTACTCCAGATGAACTTTCCAGGTTTGTGATACTATAGCATTTATTCTCAAGATTCTGTTCCTAATAAAGTGAACTTTTAAATAAAACTATATTTTCGGATTTTTTCGCGGATTTTTTTGATTTTAGGTTCCCGACGTTTCGATTGTTTTGCACCGCACATGATCACGGGAGAGACTAATGTTTAAGACGTCTCAAAGGCATTATATATCGTATAAAATCGAAATAAATCCGCGAAAAAATCCGAAAAGATAATTTTATTCAAAATGTCAAATTTTCGCTAAAATGTCAAATATTAAAATGTCAAATAATAAATCTAAGAATCACTGTAACAAATAGACAAACAGACATATGTAATGTCATAAAACATAGTGTTACGTGACCCAATAATAAACTACTAAATAAAAATAATTTTTAAATATAACTAATTTTTAGAAAATTTTGAGAGTAGGTTGTTAAATATTTAACGAAAAATATCAAAATCTACCTAATTCTCAATTGAACAACGAACAATATATCATTTTTGTTTATAATTTATATATATTAAAGACTATATATGGAATTCTGACATCCACCATATCCATTAATTGTATATAACTTAAATACTGCCGTCATAATAAAGAAGGCCTAATTAACAATTTGGTCTAAAATAACTTAAATGCAGATTCAGAATCAAGTCTTACTTATAAAGCTCTAAGTCTGATGAACCCGGAAATACTGTAACCATTTTTATCTAACAACGTACAAACTGCTACTAAGTACTATAACTTCAAATATCTCGAAATCAACTATGATAAAGTTGCGGCCATCTTTTTTTTAACGGTAGAATTATAGTTAATGAAATTGTTGCTGTAATATCCATAGACATCTCTTCCTCTCATTCGTGCGGAGGGACAAGCGACCTGCGCTACGTGAGATGGCAGCGGCGAGCTCGACCACAGCCTGCGCAGCCGTAACCGCCCACGCTGATCACCAAGTAAATAATCATACCATATCAAATAGAATAATCAATCAAATCAATAATCATATCAAAAATTCATCGTTGGTTCAACATTTTAACTCTCACCAGTCGTGTCAAGTTTTCGTCTGACTAGATAGAAAATATTATGAAAAAAAAGTGCAATTCACACACGGTAGAAGTGAAACTTCAGAAAAGTAACCTACGAGAGAATGAGATGAATATAGGTTAGGTTTTTTTTATAATATTTTTACCAAGTTTAACAGTTATTTTACATAGTAATTAATTTTATTATTTTTCACTTCCTGTGTAATATATTCTATCTCATTCTCTTTCCAGCTTAATTCTATATGTTTATGTGTTGTCTCTTTTTAGTGTTGCATTTCCGTTTCATCTAGTTTCAAATAACAACGATAAAATAGAAGTTTCACTTCAGATATCGTCGTCGGTCCAACATCTTAACTATCACCGGTCGTGTCAAGTTTTCGTCCCACCAGACTATGAAAATATTATGAAAAAAGAGCGCACTTATATGATAGTGCATAAATGTGAATGCATCACACCAATGCCAATTATTTATTATAATTGTTCTTATTAAAAATAATATTTATTTAAGAATTTCAATAAAACTATTGAAATAAAGCTAGGTGATACTATTTTTTGCCACGCGACGAAAAAACGCTCCAGTAATGTCATAGTATTATATACATTCCAATAAGAGAATCAATCAGTGTAGCTGAGTTTTTGCCACAGAGATTTCTTTGCCATTGAGGGCGTGCAATACAATTTAAAAAATTATTTGTTAAAGTAAATTAAATATATTAACGTTTTCAGGGGAAACTTAGTTTAGCATCCAAGATACATGGACTGGCCGAACGCTTGCAACAACTTGGAAAAAGTTCTGGTGACTCCGTAGATGGTAGTGACAAGGGTTCTCGAAGTAGAACAGGTAACAAACCTTACTAATTACAATTCAAAGTTACGTTACTTTGTTTATAAAACTCTTTATTCACTTGAATTATTAAACAAGACATAAAATGTAGAAACATTCAAATATATGTATTTATTTTAAAGGTTTGAATAATTATTTAATAATATGTAGTGGAGATTTATAGTTGTACCAGTTCCACACACTTATTATTTTCCACAAAATTCTAACCTCTGCATAAGCTTGGATAAATTTTGATGGGATAAATATTGATATCCACATGTTTGCGAATGCGTTTGTGTCTTGGAAATGCAAGCACGATGGTCGTCGAGCTTGTATCGAATTTTACGTTCAATTTAAAAAACGTGTGTGTATACACTTCTGTACGCACGTAAGAAGTTATAATTCTTTGGCGTAAGAGAACAAAAATAGCTGAACATTTCATTCCGTATGTTACAACTCTCTGTTTGTAAAAGGAATGCAGCTAACTTCATCATGTCGCTTTTTGGCTGTCGCTGTGCGCAAGCATCGTAAAAATTTTACTATCATATTTCTTCCAAACGTGCCAAAAGAAGTATAACTTCAAAAATTCATTGCAATCGTACAATGTATTTCTATTGGAATTAGTCAAATAAATAAATTTAATAACAACAAGTGTGTGGATACATCACAAGCGCTTCGCGCAAACTTCCTTTGATTCGTGCCCAAAAGCCGACAACGCCACAAGTGCTTGCAACAAGCTAAGCCAAACGCCCGCTTCACATGTTTGAATTTATAATGGCTTGTCGAGACTTCAAGCGTGTGGATCGATTACATATTGAGTCTTAAAATGTATAAAACAAAGCTTAATAAGCTTGTATTTGTAAAATATTTGTATATTCGCTTTTAATATAATTATATTCGAAATATCTTATTTACATAAATTATGACCAAACTTATGTAAACGATTTTGTTTCAAATTCTCGTGTTTAACATTGTTATTCAGAACTGTCTATTGATTGAAAACCATAAAACTTAAAAGACAGAAAAAAACCTTCAGTCAGCGCTGGCCCAGGGCTAGAGCGAGTGGAGCGATCGCTCTAGACGCTAGGTATCAAGTGCAGCAAAGAATCAAATGCGAAAAATAATTTTCAGCTAAAAATAAAATTTTGATAACACCTTTTGTAAGACGCGGGGCAGTGTTGCTAGGTCAGTTTTCTGAAAATCCGTAGGGTGTCGATGTAAATCTGTAAATTACTGTCGACTGCATCTTGCATGTCATACAAAATGATTTGAAAAATTTATTATTTATTTATCATAATGCCAAAGTACAATTTATGTAACGTGAAACACCGACTAAAGGGCACAGAAAGACAATCTCGCTTTACCCTGATCAAGGACTAGGGCCGGCTATGCCTTCAGTTTATTCTACAAACTAAATTAAGGAAAGTTACATACTATAATGAAATTCTAGGCAGTGTCCATCCAATGTTGTCCGTCACAACGCACCCGTCGTACTCCTCACACGAACTTTGCCTTGGACGGTTGGAGACCAGCCCAAGCCATAGCCAAATGTCACGGAATTCTAGTAGGAAAAGCAGCAATTCTTTACGCGTCAACCAGAATACGAAAATTGAAGGTATACATTAAAAAAATCTTATTTTATGGAATAAGTTCAAATAATACGTTTTTGGGGTATATTTTGTATAGTACACGATAGCTTGGTTAATTGTAAGCTGAATTGAATAATGAATTGGGTTATAGCCTGATCTCCTATATATTTTTTCTGAAAATTCCACTCGTGAAGAGTTATTCTATTGAAAGTGTTTTTAAAGCCAGTGCTCCTTTTTAGTTAGAAAATAAATATTTATTAATTTGTATATGAATGAAGTAATCACTATATATTTATATTTGTACTTGCCCACAACTCTATCCGCCGTATCTAAAAAATAACTATCTCCTAGTTTTTCCAACCTTTTTTGTACTTTCTCCCTTTGGGGGTTGAATTTTCAAAATATCTTTTCAGCAGATACAGATGAGGCGTACCTGCGTCATATTTGTAGTGTTTATAATTACTGAGCTTTCGTTCTTTTTTTACCTTATTATTTACCGTATTACCATGGAACTGAATGGTTCTGTGGATCCCAACATATTTACTTATTTTATTAATCTTCTTCTTCTTCTCCCTGCCCATTTCCCAATTACTTGGGGTCGACGCAGTACACCTTCTGTACTGCTGATAGGATTTGGCAAAAGTTTTACGACCGGCCGCCCCACGCCTGCCTGACGTCAACCCTCCTTGGGAATGTCTATTTATTAATCATTGAGTGACATTTCACTTTTATATATTATAGACTAACGACTTGCCATATCTTCGGGTACGTTTTAAGCAGACAACAATAGTTATATAATATTAAGAAATATATACCTACTTCTTATAACAGCAACTATTTTCCAGTGAGTGTTAAATATTGTGATCTTATAAGCACCATATATTATTTCATATGCATTTAGTAAAAAGCTGTTATTTTGTCATTACAAACACACACTTCAATTTTATTTATTTGTACCTATAGATATGATGATAGATATGATATGATGCTATAATTAATCTTTCTTTGCAGATTTCAGACATCTAATGCGTCGTCCGTCGACAATAGAAGTTCACACAGCGCATGTATCTTTGAAGGACATCGTATGCTATTTGTCGTTATTGGAAGCTGGGAGACCAGAAGACAAATTGGAATGTATGTATTTTTTGATACCTTTGTATTTGTTCGTGTATGGGCATATCTATACTATATTATCATAAAGAGGTAAAGTTCGTGAGTTTCTGATGTTGTAGGGCGTAATCTCTGGATCTACAGAACCGATTTCGATGAAATTTCGTAAAAAGATAGTTTGAGACGCTGGGGAGGGCATAGGATACTTTTTATCTCGGAAATCATCCCTTAAGGTGGTGAAAATGGGGATGAAAGTTTGTATTAGAAAGCAACCTAGGGACGAACCCGAGCGAAGCGAGGGTGAGTCGCTAGTATCTATATAAAATTAGAGCAATATTTTATTTATTTTTTTAATGTCGGGAAATGCATTTACGCATACCACCTGTATACATATAGATGGTTATGTGGGACTCACCGGAAGAGAAAAGACACTACTACCCACTAAAACTCAACAGAACCTCCCCCGTCTTAATGTAACGTCGCAGGATCGCTTACGCACTCAACCACGACGCCCCGACGGCAGGTCTGCCGAAGCAGACCACAACAACAACCATGGGGGGCTCCATAGTCCACTCTGCTATCAGAGAAGTACCAGGAGTAACCCACATGGCACACCTTCCACCGAAGTGGACCACCTTTCAAATAAAATTAAACCTGGAGTAATAAATAATACATAGACTACTAATAGTATACAAATTGCCACTATATAATAATAAGGTCATTTATAATCTAAGAAAACGAAACAGCCTTCTAAATTTTACTTATTTTTTTAATTTTATTCTTATACAGTTATGTTTCGTCTCTACGACACGGACGGTAACGGGGTGTTGGATACTAACGAAATGGACTGCATCGTAAATCAAATGATGACTGTGGCTGAGTATCTCGGATGGGAGACTTCGGAACTTAGGCCGGTTTGTAATCCTTCATGACGTCCTTTTTAAAAACTCCTTTTATTCTTTCTTTTTTTTTGAAAATGAAAAAATATTAACCGACTTAAAAATAAATTGAAAAGCAAACTCCATATCCATACTAATATTATAATATATAATATGTGAAAGTCTGTGAGGATGGATGTTTGTTACTCTTTCACGCCAGAATGGCTGAACGGATCTGGATGAAATTTGGCATGGAGATAGATTATAGTTTGGCATAGCACATAAGTTACTTTCTATCCCGGAAAAATGTACGGTTCCCGTAGGATAGATTTGTTTTTGTCTAGGAATGAACCCAGAGACTTAGATTAACTAAGCGATGCATTTGTCTAGATAAAAGCTAGAACAAAAAAAATTAAAGATTGCTTAGAAGTCTAAACAAAATATTAATCTCTTCTATATATTGTTATGTACCTATAATATTATTTATTTATTATCATTCATACTAATATAACTCTGTCTGTCAGTTATATTTTCTCGCTTAATTCGCGGAATCGATTTAGATGAAATTTGGTATGAAGATAGTTTGAAAGCCAGGGAAGGATATGGGATAGTGTTTATCCCGAAAACCATCCCTTAATAGGTTGAAAAGGGGCGTGGTGGTTTGTGTGGGGAATCAATCATTTCTCAAGTAAAGGACATGAACTCATCATACCTATGTATATCATCTTCTATTTCACACTAAAGTATACATCTTATGTACATATTTAGTAATTTTTATTCATTTTTTATGAAACATTTGCTTGTATGTATGTATATTGCAGATTTTACAAGACATGATGGTTGAAATAGATTACGACGCTGATGGCACTGTGTCCCTTGACGAATGGAAAAGAGGAGGGTATGTCATTAATATTATAGCTTGATAACTAACATTGTACCTATATTTAAATGTAAATTAATATGGCTTACCATGTCATGGCCATAATGCTGAATTAATAGCTTTGGATTCGATGCCTAGTTCGGGCCATTTATGGTTATTGGCGATTTCTATCAAGAAATTCCAATTAACAACCATGTGAGGCGGAGCATAGAAAACATAGTACCACTGATCTGTCACCGTTCGTGTTGAATTGTCGTCCCACCGGAATATGAGAGTGAAAGGAATAGAGAGTTCACTTTCACGCATACTTGGACATTATTATTTCTCCTGTACAGATCCAGGCTAATGTTAGTTTATTTATTTTTTATTTATTCATTCATTCATTCACTTAGTTTCTCATTCGTTCATTCATTCAGACATTATGTATAATATATATATATATTGATATCGGCAAATAGAATCCGAAATGAGTAGATTCATTAGAGAACTAAAGTTACTGACGTCGCGCGTAGAATTAGTATGCTAACGTGGTAGTGGGCTGGATTTTCATTGGATTTAATTTTAGAATTTTCACTTCAGCATTAAAACTAACTCGCTTAATATTTTCATTACAGTATGACAACAATACCCCTATTAGTGTTACTCGGCTTAGATACGAATGTAAAGGAAGATGGCGAGCACGCTTGGCGTTTGAAACATTTTAACCGACCTGCTTATTGCAATCTATGTCTCAACATGTTGGTTGGTTTAGGGAAGAAAGGGCTTTGTTGTATATGTAAGTAATTAAGTATTATTTAAAATAAACTTAAAGTTTCTATTCTATTATGAACGCGAAAATTTGTACAAATTAATGTATTTGGGTTGTTTTATAAAAAAAACTGAACTAATTTTGATGAAACTTTAAAATGTTATAACTTGTATATCAGAGTAATTCACAAGCTATCTGTGTAAAGATGTAATTATACATAATATGTGAATGACGTCGCGTTGAATCTGGAAAATTAAAGAAGCAAAAGGTTGCTCGCAATAATAGTGAACATTTGTGCACTATAAAATCTTCTGTGAATATGGCCAATCTCGGTGAGATTGGTCAGCATATCCGAAAAAGTTTAAATAAAAAGCTATGTAACAAAAATTGTGCATTGTTAAAACTTAAACAAGTAAAAGAAGAAGAAGTAATACTTAGAAATGTAAGAGTTCTACAAGTAGGATAAAATTGAATAAAACTATCTTGTCGGATTTATTCGCGGATTTATTTTAATTATTGGTTCCCGAGATTTCGAATCCTTCTTTACAGCAATCACGGTCTCTCTCGTGACTATGATTGCTGTAAAGAAAGAGAGAAGAAAGAGAGAGAGAAAATCCGAAAAGAACGTTTTATTTAAAATGTCAAAAATTCACGTAAATCTAAGAAAGTATTTATAGGATATAATGATTGATTTTCAAGATTACTTTAGATATTTAATTATAAGTGAAGCTGGTAAAAATTTGGTTGAAGAAGTTAACATATTTCTCAGTCTGCAAGTTCACGGTACACGAGCGATGTGTCCAGAGAGCCCCGGCCTCATGTATCGCTACATATTCCAAATCAAGACGTGCACCGGCAACTCTTGCACACCACTGGGTTGAAGGTACGTTCACTGAAGTATACATATAATAAAATTGTAATAAGGTCGAATCTGTACATTAAATATTTTTTTGGGAGATCTTTTTGAAATTGACATTACTGTCGATACAGATATCGGACCTATAGTTTTTATTTTTAGAATTTTTGTCTGTCTGTCTGTCTGTGAAAACACCACTGGAGGGATTTTGATGAAATTTAGTATCATGATAGCTGGTTATTCGGGTTAACATATAAGATACTTTTTACTGCGGAAAAATATCTTATCTCTGAAAAATCTATACTAAACGTTAAAACGTAACTATGGACGAACCCGAGCAAAGCGAGGATGAGTCGCTAATTAGATTAGTTATAATTTTTAGGCTAGCATACTTTTTAGTAGAAACAAAAAATTTCTTAATTTTATTTTCATTTAAGTACTTACTTATATCCTTTTAGAACTTGCCAGTCAGATCGTAGAATAAGTTATACAGTCCTAAAACTCTCATCCTTACAGATATTTTTTTTATAACTGACCACTCTTGAGGAATGTCCTACATTAAAAACCTAAATTAAATATGACATTTTCGATTCCATAGTCAAAAGGCTAAAAATCCCTATAATTGCATTATATTCTCATTCGCATTTGTCCATCTGTTTGTATTTCACAGATATTTTACTCTAAAACTATTAAATTTACATAGCTGTTTATTTAGTAGTTGTATCATGTGCACCGCTAAACAATTTTGTTGCCAAATTATAAAATATAAGTAATTACGGTGGCACTCCATATATTATGTAACTCATCATCTCCCTGCTCATTTCCCAAGTTACTTGGGGTCGGCGTTGTAAGTCTTCTTCCACTCTCCCCTATTGCTCGTCATCTATGTATATATAAAATCGATCTTTGTATGCATGTTCCCTATAGACTTCAAAACTGCTGGAGCGATATTGATGATTATTTCAAGCAATCTTCAAATTAGCCCAGTAGGTGATTCTGAGTTTAGTAGCGATTGGTAGTTTGAATGCGGGCGATGCCGCTGGTACTGGTTGTAATAGATTTTCGTAAATTATACTATATTCTTTCAGGAAATTGTCATGGAAAATGTGCAAGGTGTCGAAAGAAAATTAAAGGCTACAACGGCATAACCGGTCTTCATTGCCGCTGGTGTCATATCACTGTAAGTAAATACTTCCCTGATTTTTTTTTCTAGACATCTTAAACATAAACTTAAATACTAATATTATATCAAGACAGAGTTTGTTTGTTTGTTTAAGCGCTCTAATCTCAGGAACTACTAATCCGATTTCAAAAATGTTTCATTAGATAGCCTGTTTATTGTGGAAGGCTATAAACTATATATCATCATGCTTCTACCCAAGGGAGCGGAGCTGTAATCATAAATATCAACAAATCGGGCAAATTTCCATACATTGTTGTAAAACTGATGTTTATATCGGAAGTTTAGATACTTTTTATTCCGGAAAATTAAAGAGTTCCCGTGGGATAGTTAAAAAACTATAGTAACTTATACAGCTTAGTACACAAAAACTACTAATTGGATTTAATGAAATTTTACAATAATATAGCTCATACATCAGAATAACAAATAGTTTATTTTTATCCCGGGAATGTGTAAGGTTCCCGTGGGATAGAATTGTTTTTGTTGTTTTGTTTGACCCGCTAGTTATAAATATAATAAGCTTGCACTTGAAATAAATGGTACAGTGGCAATTGACTGTTAAATATTAATAAATTAAATGAATTAAAAGATATTCTTACTACCTATATTAGTTATTCTTACATTTTTTCTTCATATTTCTTCATGAAAAAAATCCCAAAAGATACTTTGATTTAGAAGTTAGTATTCAAATTATGACTCCACAGCTCCACAACCGCTGTGTGGGGAGTGCGGGGGGCGCGTGCACGCTCGGACGTCACGCGCGGCACATCCTGCCGCCAACCGCCATCCGCCCGCTGGTACTCGACCGCCAGCGCTCTCTACCACACCGACCTAACAACGAACAGGTTAATAACACTAATTGGAATCCATAATGCATACTAATATTATAATTGTTAAATTGTGTGTTGTTTGTTTGTTCTTCTTTCACGTCGAAACAGAGTGACGGACTGGCGTGACTTTTTGTATGGATATATTTGGAGGGCTGGAGACACAACAACTCATCATAGCTATGATTATATATAATATGATCTATCTATTTCATACTAACCATTAAAACGTACCTAGTGACGAACCCGAACCAATGTCTGACCAATGGCGTACGTTTTAACTACTTTGAATTTCCCACCTGTGTTTGCATTTTTTAATAATTATTTTCTTAATCATAAAGAAATTACATTCAAAAATATTAATAAAGGCCTAATTCAAAAACAATAAAGATTATAAAAAAAATCACCTTTATTTTAATCACACACATATTCCCTATTTCTGAATCGCTCTTTCTTTGGATAAAAATGATTGTGTATATATATAGATATTAATTCTTTTAATCGGCATATACAAGCGGAGTCGTGAGCAGATACTAATTTTCTTATACTCCTCGTTACTAAGTGTTTTGGTACTCAACAAAATTACCCAAACGAGCTCAAACCTATTCAATTCCTGATTTCATCTGTAATGTTATGTTTATTCTGCAGCAAACCATCCCAGTATCACTGTCTTTACCCATCTCTATCGCGGCCTCTACTGAAGAGAAGACAGAAGAGAAGAAAGAAAGAGAGCACCGAGCTCCACCTATCTCTTTCCAAATTACTCCGCCGGAAGGAACTTGTCCTCTACTGGTTTTTATAAACCCAAAGTCTGGGGGGCGACAAGGTTCCAGGGTGCTTCGCAAGCTCCAGTATATTTTGAACCCCCGACAGGTGCACGATATAGCGAAAGGAGGTCCCATGCAAGGTTGGTTAATATATTTTTTATGATTAGTGCATTATATATGTATATAAAAACATAGATACATATTTCCTAACAAATATCTTTTCAAAAAGTGGCGTCGATATGTGACGTTAAGCCAAACCAGAGAATAAAATTCGAAAGTTTTAATTATCTAAACACAAATTCGAACTTACCACATATAATTTAAAGTTCTTTTCTCAACGAAACAACGTGCGATTTAATTTTGTCATCCGAAAAGCAGTGAACAAAAGAGATTTGAAAAAAGGGCATAATTTCGAACTATGCACGTCTTATTGAGGACACAGGTTTTTGTATATCAATGGATTAGTGTAATATGTATATAATCATTGTAAAATGTTTTCAATGAAAAATTAATTACGACGTCTCTAATGCAAGAAGAGTTAGGTGCTTAAAACCTTAAAGAGACGTTAGTGTGACTACTGTTAGTTAAGAACTTTGTGTATTTCAACCATTATTTATTCGGTTCATCACTTTCTTTATACCGAACTTGGCCTCTTTTTACAATTTATGTTTTTGAATTAGAATGATGTTATACATATATTATATATTTTTGCATTTCAGGTTTACAAATGTTTAAAGATGTCAGAAATTATAGAGTGATATGTTGTGGGGGAGATGGGACAGTTGGATGGGTTTTGGAAACAATGGGTGAGGATAGATCTTATTTATAAATAATTATTTAAGGTTATTTCTTCATAAAATTAAGAAAAAAGGATAATATTTTTTTCTTAAAAGAATTGTTTCTTATTTGGAAAAGTTTGTGTGAATAGATTTTATCCTTGTGTTCCAAAATCTAGCAACACAGCAGACTTTTATCTAAGAGTATTTCTTTTCATACTAACTTCAACACCCATTTAACTATTTTTATTTTGTTTCGATTAATATTCTATAATATTAAAAAAAATGTACGAAACATTTATAAAGTTATATTATTTTCCATACAGATTGAAATTTTATTGTTGTAGATAAAATCCAAATGGAAACTCAACCAGCCGTAGGCGTCATACCTCTCGGTACGGGAAATGATTTGGCCAGGTGCCTTCGATGGGGCGGCGGGTAAGAATGTTACCAAATATTAAATTTATACTTTTTTGTATAAAATAATTTAGAATATTTTTAGGGTTTCGTACTTTTGATGCTAAAACGAAACCCAGGTATAATTAATTGTGGGTATGTCTGTCTGAATGTCCTAAACAGTTTTTATACGAAATTCATGCATCTTTTTTAAATTAAGCAAAATGGCTTGGTATGAAGTCGTTGGCATAAATTGTATGAAAAATTGTAAAATCGCCTTAATCTCTGAAATCCTAGACTTATTAAAAAGATTTAATTAGATTAATATATCACTAATTCATAATTTACAAAGAAATATAACAAAATAGTATACAACCGGTAAGTCCAACTCGCACTTGACTAATTTTTCTAATCAAGAAGCTATATTTAAGGTATGAAGGCGAATCTATACACAAGATATTGGACAAGATAGCTCGAGCGAGCACCGTCATGATGGACAGGTGGCAGATACACGTGGAAAACTCATCAGATGAAGTAAATTTAACATTTTTTTTAAATTAACGCAGGAAACCATTTTAAAACCTATTTTATCTGTATTTTTTGGTAATTTAATCATTCTGATAAACAAAGGTAAATTAAGTACCTAATCATAAAAAAATGATATTCCTAAATGCCATTTGATTTAAAATCACTGCAAAAATTTGGATGGATGGATGCTTGTTACTCAATTACGTCAGAATGACTGAACGGATCTGTATGAATTTGGCACAGAGATAGAGTCTGGAATAGCACGTCGATTACTTTCCATCCCGGAAAAATGTACGGTTCCCGTGGGATAGGTTTGTTTTTGTTTTTCACAAATAGTAATTACTGTTACTGTAGTTTATAATAATAGTCCGATATCTAATCTTTAGATAAATATTTCTAGTGCGAACACGTCCAGATGCCGGACTCAGCGCCGCACCCGACGACCGTTCCTTATAACATCATCAACAACTATTTCTCTATAGGCGTTGTAAGTATAACTATAAAAAGTTACATTTTTTCTTATTTTTTACTTGTACTGAGCCCTTTTTTATCGTCCCACTGCTGGGGGTGGGTCTCCCTTGAATAAGAAAGGGATCAGGCCATAGTCCACCACGCTGGCCAAGTGCGGACGGACTAAACATGTTTTTCGAAATCTTTCAAGTCCTCTCAGACATGATGGCTTCCACATGATGTTTTCCTTCGCCGTAAGGCAAGTGGAGGTAATTATAAAAATATCAGATGTTCGAGACCCGGGATTTGAACCCGCTTCATGCGGTTCCCTAAGCATGGGCGTTGCGACCGGGCTACCACTACCTGATTTTTTACTTATTACAGTTAAAAGTTCGAAAAATTAATTCGTTCGTTCGTAATTTAATAAAAGTTAGACAAATCCAAAGGAAATCGCTCGTGAAACTTGTTTCAATTTTAGCCAATAATTTTGGGTGCACGGTTGTGTATTATCAAGTTCTTTAACATTTATTTTCAGGACGCTGCAATATGCGTTAAATTCCATACGGAGAGAGAACGTAATCCGGACAAATTCAGTTCACGGATGAAGAATAAACTGTGGTACTTCGAGTTCGCTACTTCTGAACAATTTGCTGCCAGCTGCAAGAATCTCCATGAAAACATTGATATTGTGGTAAGTTACTATATTTACAATTACATTAAAATGTTTATAATATATAGTATTTATTTTCAAAAATATCTGTTTTACCATATTTTTGTTTGTTTTATACTTATAACTACTATCTTAGTCTGAACCATATTATTATTGAATAAAATGTAGCCTATATTACTTTTGGGAAATGTAGTTACGTAGCGGTGAAAGAAAAATAATTATTAATTTCGTTTCTGGTGCAGTAAAAATAAAATATCTTTTCTCTACATAATATTAGTATATTTAATTAATTAATTTTTGAACAATTACATTACAATTCTTAACCTAAATTACATTTGATCGAAGTAAATTAAAAAAAAATGGAATCAAAGACAATTTAAAATATCTTTAAATTTCGGTCAATAAATTTAAACTATTCATATTTTTAGTGTGACGGATCATCATTAGAACTAAGCAAAGGTCCAGCTCTTCAGGGTGTTGCTTTATTAAATATACCATATGCTCATGGCGGGTCTAACTTATGGGGAGCGAGTGGAGCTCATCGACGTGGACGGTTCCCGAACGCACAACAAGGTTTATACTTTAAAATCTTTTCATATAAATAAAAGTGGTATATACGTATGTCATCTTTACTTATATTATAAATGCGGTAGTGTGTAAAAATGTTCATGTAAGTGAAACTGGCATATTTTGATTCTCATATGTCCTATGATATCTGTGGGACATTCATTGTATTACTATATACGTATAAATATCAAAAAGTGGTTAGTTTTACTTATTAACTGCCGACTCCGATTTGCTCAAGTTTGACGACTTGATAAGAAAGCATCGACTTTACTTTGTATAAAATATATAATATGTATAATTAACATTCTAAATCTAAATAAAAGCGAGAGCCGTTATACATTTTTAAATTTACGCGACTGTTTAATATTTTAAATATCTTCGATTAATCTTTTGAAACCGTATCAAAATCTGTCACGTAGTTTTGGAGAAGTGAGCGCACATACAGACATTTTGAATAGCGACATCATTTTATACAATGTAAAGATACTAAAGTTTTATTAAACTTAATGTCGTCATTGTTTATATATATATATATATATATATATATATATATATATATATATATATATATATATATATATTAACAGAATTTATATGTTTAATGAATTTATAATAAGTACTATTTATATTCCAGATATCGGCGACAAACTCATTGAAGTTATAGGATTGGAAAATTGTTTACATATGGGACAAGTGAGAACTGGTGAGTAGACTTTAATTTTATTTTGATCATCGATAAAAAAATGCTAGATACACAATCCCATGCAAAACCACTCTTAAAACTGTTATCAATTGTATTTTTTGTCATAAACAATATTGAAATAAATTTACAACAATGTAATTTGAACTTTAAATGCATTTAAAAAAAAAAAATTAAAAGCGCGCTCAAATGTTCAAATGAACACTCATTCGGTGAGGACGTTTTTTGTGATTTTGAGGTCAGTATTTTTTTTTTATATTTTTTTTTAGGCCTACGAGCTTCAGGCAGGCGGTTAGCACAATGCAGTTCTATCACCATAACCACTAAGCGTACTTTCCCGATGCAGATCGATGGCGAGCCGTGGATGCAACCGCCTAGTAAAGTAAGATAAATAAATATTATATATGAAATTACCATAACTTGGCTTGTGCGCTACCGTGTCCGTCTTGTAGATGTTTTAATTTTTTTCTTTATAGCCCAAGAGTTTTATAATTTTAAAGATTTTTTGGGTTGTATTATAAACGTGTTTTCCCGCGGGATAGAGATAATCTCCCGCAGTAAAAAGTACCCTATGTCATTCTCCAGCCCTCTAACTATCTCCACACAAAAAATTACGCCAGTAAGTCGTTCTGTTTCGACGTGAGAGAAGGATGAACAAACATACAAACAAACACACTTTCACATTTATAATATTAGTATGGCAGTATGAATATTAACTATCACCTGGTACGTTTTGACGCTTAGTATAGAATAGACTATATACACATAGGTTTGATAAGTTTTACATCCCTTACTTGAGACATTATTGATTCCCCGTACAAACTTCCATCCCACATTTCAACCCATTAAGGGATCATTTCCGCGATGAAAATGTTGTATGTCCTTTCCAGGGTCTCAAACTATCTCCATACCAAATTTCATCTAAATCGGCAACGGATTAAACGTAAAAATGTAACAGACAGATAGTTACAATCGCATTTATAATATTAGTATAAATTATTCAAGGATTCTTTGGAGGATAGTTATTATTTAATACATTTTAGTCTACAAATCGGGTGTTATTTTCTGTTCTAAGGGGTAGTGAAATGATAAAGTTATAAAAACATTAAAATACTTCTGAATGAATGATGAATGTGCAATGTGAGTCGCGTGTCAAGCAATTTGTCGTGTGGACAACTTGCTTCGAATCCGATGGCACCTTGAAACCTACTTACACGACCAATCTCCACGGAATCCATGAAAAAGCAATAAAACTAAGAAAACCGTGATTTATTATGCGATTTATATCAATAGATCATTTGACATTGCCAGAAATAACTATTGTTAGCAGATTTTGTTGTGATTAACACCATTGTATTGTATGGTATCGTATTCAGCCCATATTCACGTCCCATTGATGGGCATGGGCATCCTTTCAATACGAGGATCAGGCCATAGCCCACCACGCTGGCCGAGTGCGGGCGGACTGAGCATGTCTTTCGAAAACTTGGTAGGTTCTCTCAGACATGCAGGTTTCCTCACGATGTTTTTCTTCACCGTAAGACAAGTGGTAATCATGTTAGAATTGCTTCACAGATTAAAATATTACAGGTGTACGACCCGGGATTCGAACCCGTTTCACGCGGATCTCATTTAAGCATTAAACTTTGTTAATTAATTATAAGTAGTTTTTAGAAGTAATTATTTTATTTTGTTCTCTTCAGATTACAATTACTCATAAGAACCAAGTACCAATGCTAATGGGTCCAGCGCCAGAAAAGGGGAGGAGCTTCTTCAAACTTTTCACACATTGTTAGATTTTCATTCCATAATGACTTTTTGTGTATGCAAAGATCGGTGAAACGAGAAATGATATTATTTTTAATATATTTTAACTTTATAATCATAAAAAAAGGAGTTACCCGTAGGTTATGACGGTTAGTATAGAATAGATAAACTATATATTAGTATATATATATATATATATATATATATATATATATATATATATATATATATATACTAATATTTACCTTTTATATATATATATATACATAGGTATTTACACATTTTGAAGTTATATTATTTTTGGCACGTTTGGAAAAAATTATGAGAGTACGATGCGCGCACACCGACAGCCAAAAAGCGACGTGATAAAGTTAGCTGCATTTCCTTTTACAAACAGAGTTGTGACATACGGAATGAAATCTTTAGCTATTTTTGTTCTGTTACGCTAAAGAAGTATAACTTCTTACGTGCGTACACACACACGTTTTTTTAAAAAGTTCTTTTCACCGATCCTTGTGATTAAAATAAATATATCTCTGTTACATCGATGTTATAATTGTAAAGTTCGATTTACACTTTCAACACTCCGATGTCCTCTCTTTTATTATACATACATAATATCATTTATATTGTTAAATAAATAAATATACAACAGTATATATTTTAAAAGTATTTTTTTGGATAAAATATTTTACTCAAAGAAATCCTCTCTTGCACTTTTCTATTTAAAATCATATTTGTATCAATAAAAAAAATCGCTTCAAAATACTTTTTTCAACTCACTATAATTTTTAATACTTTTTTTTGCTTAGCGAAATTTTTGATACTATTTTTTACTCATGAGAGGGCATCGTTGGTAATAATGTATTTCGACGTTTATTGTATATTAGTTGTTTAGATAATATACATAAATAAGTAAGTATACTTATATTAATATTTAAATTTTGTTTTTTTACATTATGTTTTAATCCTAATTTTATTAAGGTTTCTTTTGAACAGAAAACTTTAAAGTACCAAAAAAAACATAAAAGACTACAATGTACTAAATAAGCTTTTTAAAGTCAATATTTTGTGCTTATGTCCTAGTAAAGCTTAACATCGTACCAAAAATGATACGTCCATTTTTGCGAAAATATTATTATTATTATTATTATAGTAATTATATTCAGAATTTTAGATTTTGCGTAAAATAGGTCGTATATATTATATTATAGTGAATAAGCGCACGTTTTATTTTATCTGTGCTTGAAACACCAATAAGTGTAGCATTTTAAAATAGGCATTTACAAAAGACTTCGCACATTGTTTTCGAAAATATATTTTTTTATATATATGTACCTTCTAAGACATATTTTTTTCTTTAGATCTGCTTAATTTTTATGTTTCTAGCGTTCCATTTTTGTTTTAATTGCAGGTTTTTTTTATATATATATTTTTTTGCTGTTTTTTGATATAAAAGTAGATTAAGGTCAAATATTTAAAATTTTAGATGCACAATAATAGAGAAATACTAAAAATCAATATTAGAACTAATATACTAATATTATTTTTTCTTGATTTGTAATATCGTATAAACTTTTGACATTTTTCCACGTTTTCGTGTAACAATTGTATTTTTTTTTTTTGAAAAAAAAAAGAGGTACTCTACGAATTTAAATGTTAACAAATAGTACTAAATAAAAAAAAATATTTTAATGAATATTTAAATGTGCCAATTGGAAGCAAAATTATCTATGATATTTAAGAAAAATAATGATTTGTCACTTTCATTCGGTCCATTAATCTGTTTGAGAAACTAAGTTTTTTTTATAATAAAGCATATCAATATCAGGTGAAGATCGAATCATATAATGTCAAATATTAGATGTTAAATATTATATGTATTCAGCCCTTTTTAACGTCCCACTGCTGGGGGTGGGCCTCCCTTCAACACGAGGGGGATCAGGCCATAGTCCACCACGCTGGCCAAGTGTGGGCGGACTGAGCGTGTCTTTTGAAAACTTGCTAGGTTCTCTCAGACATGCAGGTTTCCTCACGATGTTTTCCTTCACCGTTGTGATGTTATCTTTCACATGAAAATATCATAGGAGCGAAACTCGGGATTTGAACCCGCTTCACTCCATTTCCCAAGCGAACGCGTTACCACTGGCTAACGCAATACGAATACATTAGCCTCCCACTAATTTTCTCAATTTGTTAGATCTGAACTCATATCTTATTTACGGGTTAACTTTATTTTATGATTATGATTAAAATAAATATTTTTTTTAGATTTTGTAAATAAATAGCTTTACGTTATATCCTCATTAACTCACTCAGTTTCAGTCAGTCAGTTCAGTCATTGTTCTTTTACCAGTACATTGTATTAATATTAAAAAAATCGAAATTCACCTGCAGATTCTATTTTTTTTTATATGCTTAAAAAATCTTGAACGAACTGATGAGTGATGGAATATAGTGAAGTTATTTATTTATTATATCAATATAAATAATTTTTTAAGTTTAGTTTTTTTTTTTAAATTTTTAATGTATTAAAACAAATGATATATTTATTAGAATTTAAAATATATTTATTGTTTTTGTTAAAGTTTTTGTAATTTATATCTAAATGTATATTAGCCATTAAAATACACTGTTATTTAAAAAAATATATGCTACGTTAATATTTATAACTGTGTTAGTTTTAGTGACATTTGTAATCAAATATTCTATGGAAGCTATTTTATCACCGGCATAAAAGTAGCGTCTGGTTCAAAATCTATTTCTACAAAAATGATCACACCAATCTGTTGCTATGTAAAGACACACACAAACGAGGGGCCATTTAAGTATTACGTAACCAGAATTTTAGTAATTATGAACCCCTCCCTCCCCCTTGTGAGCAAAAGTAACCAATGCTCCCACTCCCCCCCTCATGTGCTTACATAAATGTTACGACTCGATTATTTCGGGGAATCCCTGAACATGCTTTTCATTTTTGATCCTAGACAAGTAGGGTGTGTGTTTTAAACACATTGATTTTAAAAATCACAATCTACTAAATTTTAATTAATTATTATTATGAAGTTATAAATCTTTTCGCCCGTTTGGAAAAAAATATGAGTAAAATTTTTACAATACGCGCGCGCACACCGACAGCCAAAAAAGCGACATGATGAAGTTAGCTGCGTTTTTTTTACAAACCGAGAGTTGTGACATACGGAATGAAATCTTTAGCTATTTTTGTTCGATTATGCCAAAGAAGTATAACTTCTTACGTGCAAACACACGTTTTTTTTAATAAATACATATTGCTGACATAATCACTATCCAGACTACTACCTCCTGCGTCCTGTTATCAGAAACAAACAAATCCTCTCCCATTTAGTGCTTACGTATCTAATACTCGAATGGCCCCCAAACTGACACACATACATATTTATAATATTAGTAAAATAACCGTAGCGGGTTCTGGCGGTAAAAAACGCCTATTAAGATAGAAGTAGTTAAATTCTGGTATAGAAAGAACCATGGATCAAAATAATACTAGACACACAATCCCATGCAAAAGTTCTCTTAAAACTGTCACCAATTGTGTTTAGGTAATTATTCTAGTTGAAATAAATATACAACAATGTAAATTAAACCTTAAATGCAATGCTTAAAGTTGTTTTCACAAATTTTTAAGTTATCAGCGCGTTCAAATGTTCAAATGAGCGCTCATTCGGTGAGGACATTTTTTGTCGCTGATTGTGTATCTAGTGATTTTTGATCGATGTATAGAGCAAAGGAATCTGATTAAGAAATAGAACAGTTACTTATAAATTAAGACCTTACCAGAGTAGAGAGTGGAGAGTTATCTCCGTATTAAAGGTATAAACAAGATGTTATTTGTTATTGATAATTGTGAATATTTATCGTAATATCGCATACTATATATTGTAATTGTCGTATGTCTGAATGTTTATAGATACATTGAGGTCGTCATAGAGCTACTTGGTTTTGAGTTTGTGCAATACTAACTGCTCGCTCCGGCTTTGTCTAGTCACAAAATGATCTATTTTATATATTAGGTACACAAAGTTGGTTCACAATTTTATGTGTTTTAATTTTTTGCGCGCAACTCTGATTCTTTTTCTAAAATAAAAGTAGCCTAAGTTACTCCGTATAAAATCAGCTATCTGCCAGTGAAAGTCCCGTCAAAATTGGTCCCGCCGTTTTGTAGATTAACCGACACAAACAGACAGATAGGCAAAATTTTTAAAAATTGTTTTTTTCTTATTAGTTTCGTACGTATTTCGTCATATTGGTGGATTAAAGAAATAATCTGCCGTCAGTCAGGTGCGCCCAGTTACAAGATTTGCATGACTGACCATCGTAAAACTAATATACTAAATATAAATTAAATTAAATTAATATACTTCTCGCAAATTAAATCTCAGTTTTAGTTTTTTATCTTAGTTTTTTTTTATCTTAGTTGTTTTATGTGTTTACCAACAACTCACCCTTGTTTCGGTCGGGTTCGTTCGTAGTGAAAAACAAAAACAAATCTGTCCCACGGGAACCGAATATTTTTCCGGGATAAAAAGTAGCATATGTGCTATTCCAGACTATAATCTATCTCTGTGCCAAATTTCATCCAGATCCGTTTTAGCGTGATTGAGTAACAAACATCCATCCAAACTTTTGCATTTATAAAATATAATATATATATATATATATATATATAAGAGGCGCATTTGTTGGGCGGGTATCACAAGTGCCAATTTATAATGTATTTTTTTAATATTATACTTTGTTTTATTTATCCAGAGATCAAATGATGTCTGAAAAGAGAACGTACTCATATCATCTATATTTTTACCCGACTGCGGCAAAACCCAATATAGTATATGTGTGACATGTGTGTGTATGTCCGATCCTGTGTTCCCCAATAATTACTGAACAGCCTAACCGACTCTGATGTTTCATACGTTGTTAGATTTGTCTTAATAAGGCGACTGTCATTGTATATTATTAAAAGTCAAAATGCCGTTTCCCTTCACCA